GGGGGGGGGGGGCGCCCTGTCGTCAATGGGATTACAAACCTTAGGCGTCCAGACCTCAGTGTCCCGCATACGGACGCTGAAAAGCATCTCCTGGAGCATTTGAGATCTTGCTCCCCAGCATATGCTGGCAGTTTGTCTCAAAGTCATAATTTTTTTTAAAAAAAACAAGAAAGAAGCACTCCCACCTTGCCTTACGGGTCCTGACGGCCCGGGTCCCTCTCTTCCCGGCCAGGATTCCCCACGATCCACCGGCTGAGCAGGGGAGGCGACCTGGAAACAGGATGAGGGGGATGGGCTCGGAAGGAAACTCGAAAGTGACGGTGAAAGGGGAGGACGGGCTGCAGGCCGCAGAGCCAGCCTAGTGAGGAGGCTGAATACTGGGAATCCTCCGCGCAGGCCTAGGTTCTGACAGGAGTTAGGGGTGTGGGAAGGATTGTGTGCTTCGCCGTAAAAAACCACCTAATTTCGAGCACGTTCCTTTAAGACTAGGAAAGAGATAAAAAGCAAAGTTGCAGTAAACATTGTTCTCTTACAGGAGAGCTGCAGCCACCGGACTCGTGTTTATAAAGAACCTAGGATAAAACGCTTGGCCAGGACCCTAAAAGCCCCAGGGCAAAGGGCTGGGCAGGATTCGGGAAACTAATTAGGTTCCAAAAAAAACAACAAAAAAAACGCGCGCGGAGAGCCGCAGCGACACCTAACGGACGTTCCGCTCCCAGGGCGGGATTTTCAAATGCGGCCGTGGCCCCGCAGGCGCTACAGGATGACGCTTCATACAAAACGGAGAACAGACCCTTTATGGCCGATTTAGAAGCTTCAAGCGCCACCTCCAGCCCACACAGCCCCCGTGCAAATGTTAAAAAAGTGACAACAGCTTAAAGGGACGGGAGTGAGTCCTGGCTTTCAGGCCACATTCGCTTGCACTCCCGGGACCCCTGTATGGGGCACTTTTACCAAGAGCATAGGCAGTGCGTCTACCTCCCCGGGGCCAGTGATGCCATCCCGAGGGTTGGCATTAAGGGTCATTGAGGTCCACGACCTGCCAGTGAGCAGCTCTCTGTGTGAAAACATGAGTGGCTCTGAAAAGAGCCTTTGGGTTAGGACTCGGCCGCTTACTCGCGAGTCTACTTGGAGCTGGTGTACTTGGTGACGGCCTTGGTGCCCTCGGACACGGCGTGCTTGGCCAGCTCGCCGGGCAGCAGCAGGCGCACGGCCGTCTGGATCTCCCGCGACGTGATGGTCGAGCGCTTGTTGTAATGCGCCAGGCGCGACGCCTCGCCCGCGATGCGCTCGAAGATGTCGTTGACGAAGGAGTTCATGATGCCCATGGCCTTGGACGAGATGCCGGTGTCGGGGTGCACCTGCTTCAGCACCTTGTACACGTAGACCGAGTAGCTCTCCTTGCGGCTGCGCTTGCGCTTCTTGCCGTCCTTCTTCTGCGCCTTGGTCACCGCCTTCTTGGAGCCCTTCTTCGGGGCGGGCGCGGACTTGGCCGGCTCGGGCATGGTGAAGACCACAGCAAAAGTGATGAGCGACTAGAAAAGGTAGGAACAGAGAATGACATGTCCCTTTCATATAGAGCTTAGTATGCAAATAAGGGGATAAACTAAGGTCCAGTGTCTGATTGGTTGCTATTCATGGTAACGTAAAAAGTATTTGCTCTGCCCAATCAGAACCAAGAATCCTAAATTTGCATTTTCATTGGTTAAGCGGAAGCTGCGCTCTTAAACAAAGCCACAATTCTTTTTCAGACTCAAAAAGGTTTATAAAATAATCTGCCGCCCCTGCACTTTCACAAAGTGTTCCTGTCGAGCGCGGGAATCAGGGCTGCCAGGCACGAACGCTTGTGTTCATTTGAATCAGTGTGGTACACCCTTGAGGGTGGAAGAAGATATTCAGGGGGAAAAAAGGTGGTTTGCCATCATCCATACTGACCCCAAGACAGTGTTTCCCACTGTAGATGCAACGCAGAAATATAAAGTAAAAATAAAGAGCAGGGGATAAAACCTTAGTGAGAAAGCAAAATAACTTCCTGAAGGGAGGTAAGAGAGGAATTCGTAGGTCAGTATGACTTCAGTTCTTCATATTGGAAAGTGTCAAGTCATTCCCAGCCTAGTCACAGAGCAGGATCAAATGCTTCTTCCATCTAACTTGTAAAATTATTTTTAAAAATTTAAAGTGGAGGAAACCAGTGTTTAACAGCTTTTAAAAAAATTATCATCATCTGGCTGAAGTCGCTAGTTCTTTTATTCTGATCTTTTTGCAGAGAGATGTATCGTTTCTGAATTGGGCTTTTTCCCTAACAGTAAACCCTGGGACTGCAAGGTGCATGTGGCAGTCTGGCACCTAACAAGACCACATTCCAGAATTTATTGTCTTATCTTTGTTTCATAAAATAGGTATTGTGTTTTCTCACTTCAGTACTGAGGAAATCTCCCGAAGACGGATTCGATTTCTTTATTTCCTCCGTAATCCCAGTGCAGCCAGTGTAGCAATGTTCAGAATAACGGCTAACGTGCTTTATTTGTATCTGTTCATTTAACCAGAAACCCATATCCTACTGAATATTACTCTTTTTTTTTTTTCATTTTGCAGAAAAGGAAACAAGATATATACCTAAAGAAGCTGAAACTGAATTTTTGTATAATTAAAAAAGCATTTATCTCACCTTTCTAACTGATTAGATGCTACTGCTATTTTTTATTCAGTCCCTGTAGTAGTTAGTTCATAAGCACTTGATTATTTTTAGAGCTGCAAATTTGCAAACACGTTGTCCCCGCCATCGCCCAGCTGGCTCCAATCCTACTTTTCTAGCACAACACTTCCAATGAGAGATCCTCCAATTTTCCTAACTGGAGCCTCCTGCAGCCCCACTTTCCTTTACTGGCCTGCATCCTATAGGAATGGGCTTGATTCCCATTGACACTTGTGTTAGACCCCACATTAGTAGAAGCCAGGTACAAAAAACACAGGTACAGAGACTCACCAGGGCAGAAAGCCCCAGACACCTAGCAAGAGGCAAAACTGGGAAAACAAGAACCTTGTCCCCAGGATAACCTGTCTTCCCCTGGCATATAGCTAGTCCTCAGGTTTAGACCCCCCAGAGCATTTCTTCCCTAAGGATAACATCTAGGCCTCCTCTCCGTTGTACTTCAGCTCCAGGCCCAGAAAAGCAGTAAAACCGGACAAGTGGTCCTTGGCTGACTCAGGACCAGCTGCATTGACTAATGACCCCCTGCCCTGGCACCGGCCAATCAGTGGAGACCAGGACCCTGAAAGAGCCCACCTGGAAAGCTGGTGAATATGCTATTGAGACCCTCCCCTGAGATCTCCCCTAAGATTTCCACCTGCAAGAAAGAGATTAAAAAGGCTCAGGATAAAGGCCCCAGCGTCATCTCCTTCCCCCTTCTTACCTCAGAGGGGACCCCACAAAACTTGCAACCTGGGGAGCAATGGGCAGCAGCAGCTCTTCCTCCCCTAACCCCCTGAACCTGTCTCCCAGGCCCCCTTCTCTCTCTGACTTCTCAGTGAGCCAAAGCAGCCCAGCCTGGGCTCTCCTGTTGCCTCTTCTATGGTTTTCCTTGTTTCACTGTCCCAAGTACACTTTTGCTGCCATCATGAACACAATACCCTTTGACTCTGCTGTGTAGCCCTTCCCTTTGGATATCCCCTCTCTCATTTCCTTTCCTTAAATATGTTAAAATTTTCTTTATTCACTGAGATGCTATTTAGCTGCTTGTGTGCCACTTTCTTTCCTTTCTACTAGGGCCTGGCTACTCAAACTGTGGTCCTTGGACCACCAGCAGCAGCAAAAGTCACTCAGGAGCTGGTTAGAAATGCAGAGTCTTAGGCTCTACTCTTGACCTACAATCAGCCTCTGTATCTTAATGAGATCCCTCTATGATCTGGTTGCACACTAGTTTTGGGAAGCCAGGTGTAGGGGATCTTTGCTCCTTACCTGCAAGGAAGGAGTGGGTGAAGAAAAAAACAAAGGGCACAAAGGGGCCCATTCCCCTGGAATCCCTTCTATTTTCCATACATATTTTTAAACACTCTCCCTTTTCAACTCTTTGTCTAGGATTGTTTGTTGTCAGTTATTAGCATCACCATCAGCTTTTAAAAATTAGTTTTATTAACTTACTAGTTGAGAATTTTAATGTATTTCCATTGTGGGTAAAGATGAAAGTCATCATCAGTTGAGAGCCAAAGCTCTAAAAATATATGTGAATATTCTGTGATGAAGGCACATTGCCTGGAAACACAAGACGTTAGTGGTTTTCATTTCCAATTCAGGAAAAATATGAATTGTAAAGTAAGAACATCAAGTCAATAACCCTTGACCATTTTCCCAAGTGTAACCATTGGGTTTATAAGGTTTACAGAATGGGTATAAGGGACCAAGCGACTAATTTTTAAGTGCGTGAATTGTAGATTGTTAAAGAAAAACCACATGCCCAAAATGGCATAACCCATGCTAAAACCCCAAGACACCAAACCTAGATTTAATAACTGATCTAATTATAGTTTCAATCTCTCCCAGAAACCTAATCTTAATCAACCAGTCTGGAGTTTTCTGGTCAAGCCCTAGTAAGGTAATCATCAGTGGGCCCTCTCCACAGAAAGAAGAGGCAATCAGCATGATAAAAACCCTCCAGTTCTCTTCCCTGAAAGAAAAGAAGCCCTGGCGCAAGCATACAGCTTTCTTTTCTTTTGTTCAAAGCTTCCTTTCCCACCCTTCTTCCTATGAAAACTTTCCATTTTGTGCCACCCCTGGGAACCCATTCTAGTTGCCAAATTCCATGCTGCCTGACTCAAGAATCAGTTAAAGAAATCAGATCTTCAATTTTACTTCGCCGAATTTTGTGTTGCTACAAGATGAACCTGGCCTCTATATAACACTGAAGAGTGCTGAGGATTGACCCAAACAGGAGTGTTCATTCCACTTGTACATGAATTTAGTGAGATACACACAAGGTATAGGGCAGACAGAGTAGTTCAAGAATTATGTTAAATAAAAAACAGGTTCAGACTTTGTAAGCAGAGACTTTTTGGGAAAGGATAATTGACAAAGGTTGAAAGGGACGATTGCAATAGGGCCACAGTGACTGTTGCTTAAACTCTGCAAGGGTTCGGCAAAAGGGATTTTCTATATAGGAAAGTTAACAAGATTAGAAAGAACTGAGATGAGAAAGTGGTTTGATTGGAGAGCAGATCAGACAATATTTTACCCAGAGGTTATCCAGTTCTCCAGAGAGACACTTAAGAAGGTAAAGGTTGGGTCAAAGTTCAGGGACCTGGGGGCAGGGAGGAAATGTAAAGTTTGGCTGACAAGCAATTATTCTGATTGATCAGTGGGGATTAGCAGTTCATTTTTGAGTTGAATAGAAATTTGGAGAACCTGTGTCATAGGTCAACAAAGAGTTAATCCTTGAGTCCTAATGCTTTGGGGGAAAGGTGGTTCCTTACACGAAGCCATTTTTGGAATACAAAGGAGGGGTAGGGATTTCTCTAACCTTTGCAGTTTTCTAGGGTCACAAGGCTCAGATAAACGTCAATATTGTCAGTTACATTCACTGATATCTCATTTAAATCTTGTTGGGTCTGATGTTTTAAAAAAAATTAAAGGTGTAAAATATTGAACACATTTGGTTTAACTCTAATCTGAAATTAAATTACTGAAATATAACAATTTTTCATAAAACTATAAGTTGGACACCATGGAAATTGCCTCTCCAGGTGGAGCTGCTGAATCCCAGTTGTGACAGTAATCATTTGACTGATGAGTGAAGGGCGTTATTTGCACCACAGGATTGTTAATTGAAAAACAAAATTGACTCCTTTGCTTTTAAAATAGATTCAGTGAAAGCGTCTTAAAATTAATTTGCCACGGGTTCATAGCGCCACCTAGTGCCTTCTGAAGGCAAAGACAAATCCCTAGAAGACTCACACATACAAAGAAGGAACAGCAGCTATGAAAAGAGAGAGATTAAGAATCCTGAGACTGCTTTGGACAAATTTTACAAACAAACTTCACATTAAAGGATAATTTTCAAGACAAAGGATAAACAAGTTATGATTACAAGGAAATGGGATAGACAAGTCAAAAAAATCTATCCTATACTTTTCAACCTAAATGGTTCCTGGCACGGTTGGATTTTACAGGTTTTTGTTTAATTTAAGGGGTTGATAATCCCTATTTAACAAAAGGTGTTTCAATAAAAAATAATAGGTCTCTTCCTTTTTATTTTTGAAAATATATATCCGTATTATCTAAACTAGATAGAAACAAAAAAATAAAGGAACTGACGAGATAAAAATTATAGTCTTGTCTTATGAACATTGATAAAAAAAAAAAAAGGCTCTATTTGAAACACAAGCAAATGGAAGCCAAGATTACATGTTATTTAAAAAATAATAGTATACATGTAGGTTTTATTCCAAGAAAGGAAGAAAAGTTTAACATAAATCTTCCAGTGAAAGATATTAGTAGGCTCAAATTATGCTGTCATATCCATAGATCCTGGGAAAGTACTTGCTAGAATACTCATCTTATACATTTCTTATTTTTTATTTTTTATCATACACATTTTTAATAGAAAATAGTCAAGATGACCACCCCGTCCAAAAAAAAAAAAAGAAAGAAAGAAGAAATAAAGAATGGTGCGTTTTGACTTAGGGCTGGCACTTTAAAAGGGGCTACGGTTATCCTGAGATACAGCTTTCAGCTGTTAGAATCTGTGTTAGTGTTTATTCAAGTCCTTATAGGCCAAGTTGACAAGAGGGTTCAAGGAAGCCTGGGTAGAATTCAGTCTGAATTTTACCTGCTGTTATTTGATTAATTGCTTAGAGTTACCAAGAGAACATGTCTTTTAGTGCAATGTTTTAGAATAGGGACCCTGGAGCTAAACTGCCTGGGTCAGGGTCCCTTCTGCCATTTGTTAACTGTATGACATTGGGCACATTAATTTAAGCTTTGGGAGATCCTGTAAATCTGTGGGTAAAATTGGGATAATAGTTCACAGATGTTATGAGAATTACACGTTAACTTCTGGAAAGCACTGGAAATGTGTCTGGGTGTTTGCAAAAATAAATACATAATAAAAAAATTTAAAATAGATACAAGTAACTGGGAAGGGTTGTGTGCAACCTGCACCCACCCAAATCAACATTATCTTTGTTGGGCCTTTGGCATTTTTGCCTTACTGGGCCCCTTCCTTCATTAAAATAACAATAACCAAAAAAAAAAATCACTGTTAAAATTATATGAAGATTACTTCATTAACATTATAACATTTTCATTGACGTAAACGTTTATTTTTTTCTTCTGATTTCAGAAATGACAGTCTCTTCGTGAGCCTCTAAAAGTAGTGTGGGCCCTAGGCCTGTGCCTCTTGTGCCTAAGGCACTGTCTGCCCTGAAGATGACATTTAAAAAACGAAACCTTCAAGGAGCGGATAATGCGATCCGCTCACAGGTGCCCTACGTGCGAGGACAGTAAGTCGGGGCGCGGCCGGCAGGGCGTCTCGGGAGCTCATTAAGGGGGGTCCTCAGCTCGGGGACAGTCGGGGGCGGGGCCTGCTTCTCGGTCGTCAAACTGGGTTTCCTGCTTTCATCCCAAGTGGCCCGGGGCACCGCTCGCACTCCCGGGTGAGCAGCGGCGGCCCAGAGAGGCCGGGACCGCGGCGAGCCGCGGGCGACGGGCTCAAGGACGCCCAGGGA